TGGCAGCCGAAGACGAAGATAAGAATAGACAGGGATAGGCTCCTGCCACACAGGCAGAGTATGGTAGCCTCGACAGCAACGCCCCTTTAAGATATAATGATGAAGTGTATTAATAAAGTATTAGGTCGCTACCTGTAAGCTATGGGAGGAGTGGTCAAGGAGCAAGGACTACCTGCCAGGGAGTAGTCCCCACGATTGAAAGGACCGAAATTAGATGGTGGCAGCTTTTACCGAAACGGAAACCCCGAACAGGAGAATCCTAGTTAAGGGTGAGCTAGGAGGATTGTGATAACTCCTTACAGAGCAAGTGACGGTGGAGGCAAGGAAGGATACCTCCACGGCCCCCGACTGGAGGCGTAACAGTGGTGGCAGAGGAGGCTACCTCCACGCCCCCCTGCACCACGGCATTACAGTGGCGGCAGCGGGTGGGATACCTCCATCTCCCCCTGCGCCGGTAGGGCATTACAATGTCCATTGTATCTGATATGGTCCCATGTTTAGTATGTGGTTTCAGTATCCTGAATTACTATTATTATTTCTAATTGCTTGTGTATGTTCCTTCTATATGCAAAGTATAGCAGCATGACAATTGGAGAGCGGTCTCCTCTACAACATGTACATCTGACAATGACCAGTTGGGTGAAAAAAGGTAGTATTTGAATAACAGGAAGAGAGAAATGCAAGTGCTAATCCAGTCTGAATGAAGTTCGCCCAAATGTTTCAACATTCTGTCCATACTTCAAAGGAAACACATCACATCTCTGCTACAAGGTCCAATCAGTTAATGGTTTGTAGAAACAGCCACTGTTCACAGTGAGAACCATACGGAACACACAAATAATATATAAGAATTCAGTTTGTATGTTACAGGAAACACATTACATCTCCGCTACAAATCCCAACTCGTTTATGCTGTTTGGGGAAACAGTCGCTGTTTATTGTGAGATCCATGTGGAACATACAAATACACTTCCAAATAATATATAAGAATTCAATCCATACCTCACAGGAAACATTATGTCTCCACTACAAAGACCAACCAGTTAATGCTGTTTAGGAAAACAGTTGCTGTTTATTGTGAGAACCATAAGGAACACAGATACACTGTATTGGAGAATGCCAGAATGCAGAGTTCTTTAATCTTCATGCAGATAATGCACATTTACCACTCTGCCTTAGATAGTTAATACATGAGTATAATGAAAGAACTAGCAGCAATTCAGCATGCTTTGAACTCAAGTCCGAGTTCAGATAACTTTTGATTATACATTTATTTTATTTTTTTATTTTGTCAACCCAGTGGTCAAACTGGTCAACAGCGGCAGCAAAAACACTTAAAAAACTTTAATACTCTAACAAACACATGAATATTACCTTATAAGAACTGTATTACTTTTATATGTACGCTTAACACGTAACTGGTAACTTTGTGAATGTTCAGTATCTGTTGGTATGGCTTGTGAATAATTTATACAAACAATCCTGAAATGATTCCATTCACTATAGCAGAGTGTGTCTCTCAGGCAAGCAACAACAGGACAAGAGGCAGTTCAGCTAAGGTATCTGCTAAACGTGTGAATAACACTGACCTTCAATGTATGGTACTGTATAAGTATGCATTTCATGTGTGTTAATTATTTCTCAGGGTTAGAGTATATTCTTAGGACTATACCTAACTTCATCATTAAGCTACTGATGTTTAATGTTCTTTGAATCACTGTTATGAAAATACTTTTGGTTCTTCATAAATCCTCTTCATCGAGACACTGAGAGCTGGTAAGAAGTTCTTAACATTAATTCCACCAAACTATATTGAGGCTCAGTGATGGTGGGGATGAAGGCACTTAAGAGATCTCTTTCTTCCTCCTCCTTCAGACCTCTTTGTCCCATATCAAGTAGCCCAAAGCACTTATCAATAACAAAAGATATCACTACCAACAGTGAACAGAATGGCTAGATCAGACAAGAGTACAAGGGAGATGTGGAAGGGTCAACCCATGTGACTTCCTTCTATGGCCACTATTTTAATCACTGAATCATTGTCTTTTCTGTGTGGAGGTTGGTTACCATAACTCCACCATAGACCTGCAAATTGTAGAATCTGATGCCTGGAGGTATAACTGGGCCACACTGTCACAGTGGGACATAAATACAGAGACCTGGCCCTCCAGGTTTGGGGTTGGATGCAAGGCTGATAACCTTACTCTGTAAAAAGAATTACTGTTGCAAAATCCAAGGAAATGGAAACCAGACTATCTAATTAAAGACACAGCCAGGAACAACAAATCTGGCGGAATCTTCTAAGAAAGGCTATGACTTAAAAACGGCCGTTTTGTTTCTGATGATGATGAATCATTGTCTAAAGATTCATTACTGGCCAGATCCATCCTACCACAATTATGCTGAACACAGTTCTTTGTCCTGGGTATACAGGGCATCCCATCTTCACATGACTGACAGTCGCTGTAGTGACACATTGGTGGCAGAGATTCAGACTGAACTCTGAACTTTCTGAACATTAAATCTGTATGGCCATGGTACAGAAGTTAACATAATAGTGCAGTAGAGAGTTTAATGCACTCCAGTGCAAGGCTTTCCTTCATTTAAGGTTCAACTGCAACAGTCCCAAGTGATGCTCTCAGTGTTATATTTCTTCCATTTAAGATTTTCTTCAGTTTAGTGTTCAAATCCACTGCTCCCCACAGAAGCCTTGTATAGGACTTTCACTGTATCTGATACAGAGTTAGTCTTGATTCAAACAGTGAGAATAAATTCACTGTATCAATAAGATGGCAGTCAGGACAAGTCTAACATTGGAATAAAGCAAGATACGCTTTAAATGGATATTTGCTGTACATTTCATGTTCTAGAGAACTTACGAAGTACTCAAATATCATGTGAAAGTGTCAAATACAGATCATTTCATATAGCAGAAGCATAAATAGCCATTCTTCCTCCCTCCAATGTATTGCTATTTTCTTTATTAGTACCACAATACATAGGCCTAGTAGGTAATACCTTTAAAGAAGGAATAACACTCAAATTAAGAAATGAAACTTTACTTGTGTAATTAAAAGACTATAAATTTGGAAAGATTTAAATACTGCGATTCTTGCATACTCCTTTAACAGCTGTGAATACTGTATGCAGTGGCAAGAGCATGGAGTAAATTTCACAACACTGTCATGTGACAGAGTGACTATACACAGGGTCTGAATTGGTAATAGGATTTATTGGACTTTTCTAACACCTACTCATGACTACACTTTAGTGTTCTCATCAGTTACAGTCTCCATTGGCTGTTGCTTGGTAGTGGCTTCCAACAGCAGACGTTCCCCTTCCCTGGCCTTGGCTAACAGCTTCTCACAGCAACAGCTCAAAAGGACTGAACCGCAGCAGTCCTCTGTCTCACTATCTCACCCACCAACCAACTCTTCACTTACTCCTCTACTGACTGACTGACTCTGTCCACTAACTCACTCTTGCTCCTAAGTTGTCCTGTTTATAACATCTTGGCACAGACTATGTAGAAAACACTGCCTCCCATTATTGCTCTACCCTCTTGTTACTGTGGAATTTTGTGTCTGTTGGTGGAGATGCTACCTGGCAGTGGTTGTTGTATAGTTGCTTGTTTCATGGTCACTGTCTAGCAATATGCCATAATATCTTTGAGTGTTCTCTATTATGTCAGCAGTAGGAAACATGAGGTTGACAGGGGAGATACCTTTTGTACAAATATTAGCTCTGGACAGAAGGAACATAACTCTCTTGTGGGATCTGACAAATTGTCAAATGTTTCGGAGGAATCTGCTTCTTCCATCTTCAGGGCAGAAAAGGCATCAGGTTCCTCTAAATGTCAGCAATTATCTAGCAGACAATACAACACCACATCCTAGAAGACAATGATCTTCATAATCAACACTGGGAGAACTTCAAATGAAGCTTCTGCACTAACACGATACCAACAGATGGTTTATCAATATCTGTCATGTGGCAGATCATTAATTCTGAATCATCACAGATCTCAGAAGAAGAGTTCTATTTCTAGACTTCATGTGGTTTTATAATAATTCATTTGAAATACTTTTCATTGACCTTTTCACAGATCTATCTGCTAGAAATGCCAAGGTTGCCTGGCGGGAGGGGGGAAGTGCAATTAAGCAGAGCACCCACATTACATCCTCAGATCACTTTCAAGTGACCACAGGTATAGGCACTTGAAATTAGTTCTTTCCTCTAAACACTGGTCTACCACACCTGCTGCCATCTATGACAGAATGCTGTACAAGTATTTAACAATCAGCTGATCGCTTCAGCTTTAGCAGTTTTAATGCAAGTAAATTGAACTGATGTAATCACTATATGATATGCAGAGGGTTAAGTAAGCAGCTAATAAGAGTCAGTCATTGTGCAAGCGTTTTGGCATACACTGCAGTCTCCATCTTCAGGGTGAATATGCCAGTATAAACTTTAAAGTTCTTTGAAAACAGCATGACACACTGTTTAAAAACTGTCGCTTCCATTGTCCATCACCTGTATTTATTCAAGCCATTACATTTCAGAAAATGGTTCTATTTCTGTCTCAAGGTGAACAGGATATCACAGAAAACTTACTCTGTTGGGCAATTACGCACTGTCAGACTATGGTTTGAGTGAAGACAGAAATAGAACCAATTTCTGAACCACAGTGGCTTTAATAAATCTAATCCAACAGACAAAGTAAAAATAATGTAGATAATTTTTTTAGGTTTCCATGGCACTGGTCATTAAGACTGTGCCTTGCGATAACAAGTAATTTTGCGGGTTTACACTAAAGTTGCAGAGAATCATGCACTCTAACCATCAGGGTGAAATGTGCACGTTCAGGAATAAGCTTGGTTACATGTGCAAGTTACAAGGGAGAGGCCATGAGACCCCAAGGAGGGTGGAAGGGACAGGGGGTGTAAACAGAGCCTTGTATAATTCCGGCAGTCTACCGATTCTATAATGAATGACAATACTGATACTCTGTATAGTATTTATACAAGAAAAATGAATACAAAGAAATTACAATAAAACGAATTCTTGAAATGCATGTAGGTCAGGACTGACATGGAGTATCCTATGTGAAGGTGGTAACCAGTTATCAGATGTGGCATGTCATTAGCCCTGCACATTATGGATCTTGAACTTATTCTTCTTATGCCTTTTAAAAAATGGGCTTACATGCCTGTTCCAGCTTTATCCAATGTTCGTAAATTCTTCCTAGTCACAGACAGTAATTCAAAATTCATTTTGATAATCTTTCCTCCACCATCCTGTGCACCTTTTGTATTCACATTTATCTCTGTGAATATATTCCATATCTTTCCTAAGTAATTCAATGTAATGGTTTCTGTCAGAGCCACACCACAGAACCTGAGAGAGGTAAAGAGACATTCAGTTGTCACGCTAGTAGAGTTTCACAATTATTAGTGACTAACAAATTGGAAAGGATGGGAACTATCCTGTCATTTGCCTGGAAGGACCAGGG